ACCGTTATCTTCAGCTGGGTCCACAACTGATCAAACTCTCTCATCTTTTCTTCACACGATCTCCTCCATATCACTCTCGCACTGACGATCCACTCTTCGCTTCCCAACGGGATTCCACTCAAGCAAACGTCATTTGACGGTCTCCTCAGTGTATGCCCGATCCATTTCCACTTTCTCCTACATATTTGTTGAGCGATCGGTTCTTGGTTGGTTTGTTCCCAGTCAGTCAGAGTTTCTTGTTGCTGATTCTTTCTGGCCAGCCACTGAAGGTGGCAGCTGTTGATGAAAGTCTGCAACAGGCTGTTGGAAATCCTTTACGTGGCACGTTGGTCGAGTTTCTGACCGTAACAGAAGCACTGACAGACTTCACATTGGTGTTGGAAATGCAAATCTTGTTTCTTATGCTGAGGTGAAGTGCAGAAGATTTCCAAACTGGTTTCAGGTTGATGAAAACGGATCTTGCCTTTCCGAATCTACCTGGCTGACTTTGACATCCTCATCCGTTCTGTTTGCCTGTAGTCGTCGGTGGCACAGTGGTTAGGACTCTCGCCGACCATGAACATGGTCCGGGGTTCGAGCCCACGCCGACGAAGCACACCTGATATCTATGGTCGGCCTGCGAATTTTGGGCTACCGATATCCATGCTGAAAATTCCACACTTGTACCAAAAATACGGTGTGGAGTCAAGCTGTAATCAAAAATAAAAAAATAAAAATAAAAAATAAATAGTTGAAACAATTCTTCCTGGCCAGGAAAGTGATGGAGGCAACCTCTGTTAAATCTTTCCCGTTCAGGATATCCACATACTCTAAGTTAATCTAAGGTGAATGTAAACTTCCAGGTTATATCAGCCATACCTCGTGTTCGAGACATGACAATACTAATCACTTGTTTAGGTTGAAATAAGCAGAAAATAATTGAAATCTGAAACACATCAACTTAAAATCGCCATACTGAGTTAATAAAGTCACCTTTTCGCAACAGTGTGAATAGAAATACTGCTAGTCGTCAAGTATTGATTGGTTTTTCAGCAGTACGCTGAAGAGTCCCAAACTAGGCTGATGAAACAGCTACTGTCCAGTACTCCCTGCAGGTTTTCCTCATGGTTCTCTAACCGATGTCAGCTCATCATGATGAAATCCTCCAACCAATCAAAGAAATACTATTGCCTGTCAGTTAGTTTAGTTAAAGTGCATTGGGAACACGAGGTATGTTTTCAAAAGTAAAACAAATGTATTATGAAACAAAATGTTATTCAAATAAACAGTCCAATTTTCATAAAGTAGTATTTGAAATAATTATTCTCTTGGTTCGTTTCACCTTCAACTTTGGCGGGCTTTTACCATGGCAATACAAACAAATACTTATTTGAATGAGGCATTTAGAAGACAAATTTCGTGAGATTATATCGTCATTTCGTAGTTTCTTTACAACCGATTTTTACAACTAACATGGTTGACAATAATAAAATAAAGATCATGACAATTACTCAGTTAAATAAAAAACAAAAGTAAATACTACTAATGACCACTCATATTTAAATAGGTCATATAGTCTATGGTAAGCGAAGGTTGAAGTCTATTGTTTATTGTAGACATGGTTTAAAATGTGTGTGATTCATCCCCAAAGTGCTTCCGTCACTTTCAGTAACCTTGAATTGGATTTATGTGAAATAATTGTGAAACAGTCATTAATATCGATTGATTTTGTGACCTGACATTAATAACTGTTTTGCAATGGATGATGCTGGATTTCTACTCAAACTAACTGTATTGGGATCTTCTATGTGTTTTAATAATCATTTCGGAACATGTCCTTTTCGACGACCATATTGGAACATTCTATTGGTTCTGCCTATGTAGATGTCACTGCAACTGTAGATACAGTTTGGAGTAGAGTTCATAGAATTTCGTCTTTTAATCGTAGGTACAGGGATCGAAAATGTTCGGCAAGTGAGAAAAAGACATGTGGCGGTGTCGAATGTGCATTTGATGGCTGACCAAAGTCTTTGAGCTAGCTGTCAACTGCATAATCTGGTAACCCTTGAATGGTAGGTTAATACAGACAGCTTTCTTTGATACAGAAGCTTTCTTTTCAAGATGTGGTCTATCCTTACTGTGACAAGTGATCAAATTTGTGCACAACAATTAGCTAATGAAACTAAAGCTCCTCCATCAGTGTGTCACTCATGAAAAGCTGTTGTAAGGAAACTACAAAATGAAGATATTATCTTGCAAAATTTGTCTTCTAAATACCTTAATACTTATTGTTGCGTTCAAAAAAGCAAATTCTTATGAAAAGCAATCTTTACAGACTTTTGTTTCATAGAAATGACCAGATTTCATTTTTCTGAGTAGAAAAGCGGCTTGAACTGTATGAGGGCTTAGTTTTTAAGTGATTTTCATAGCCAGTCACAACTCAGACGGATTGATATCAAAATCTAAGGTCCACTAGATATTTCATGCATTTATTTCTCTTGATGAATTTGAATAAAGCAAAAAAAAGCGATGGTGGTTTGTGCAGAATAATATGCTACCATCATTGCTTATTTCGTTGGCTTCTCATCAGCTGCATGTCTACAGCCTAAATAAATTATGAGGTTTGTATACAAAAAAGTTTGAACATAATTATAAATTATTTTCATGATGTCAGTTGACAGAATGTTCCGCAGTTAGTGAACAGTGTCCTCTGAAAATTGCGCTCATGTAGTTTTTACTCAGGCAGTTCAAGTATAAAGCAAATCACTGTATACATACAATGGTAAGGGAGTTACGTAATAAAGACAGGAGATGCGTAAGATGCTGAGTGACTAATAAGTTGGGTTGAGTTCAACTCAGATCATAGAAACAAAACAAACAATCAAAATAACACTATGTCGAAGGGGTGGGGTTAGAACCAAAGATTACTCAATCAAATGAAAGACAGAAGAAAGACATCCAGTTAACAGGCCAGCAAGGAAAGACTATTAACTGTTTCTTACTGAACACATAAATCGGGTTTCAGCTGCTTGATAGAGATTGCTTCAGTAAACTTAAGGAGAACTGGATTTCTTCGCCTATTGATAATTTTAAAGGATTTTGCGATATCCAGCTCACGACTCATGCCAAGGAAACTCCTGTTAATGGCATTACTGGAAGCGTTTGTTAACTTGAGACGTTGGCTTTTCGTTACACTTTCAGAAAATCAGAGGTGTGACCTTCTTTATGTTCTCCCAATGTAACTGCTCCCGCAGATACACGTAAATTTGTATACACAGTTGGAGTTAACATGAGAAGGGTATTTGTCGACTATTGATCGCATCAAAGAACATGCTGTTCGATGGATGGGAACCAACTCACCTACAGGATACGCTCTGACTAGTGGAGTAGTCAGTCATCTGTTGATCATTGCTGCAAAGTTAACACCTTTAAAATCTAGTTAAATGAAGATGGGCTTTTTTCAACTGTGATTTGTTTGATGTTTGAGCCTTCACATCTGCTGTATTAGTTAATTGATCTTTGAGGATAACCGTTGTATTTCAACATCTTTCTCTAGTTTCTCTTCAAAAATGCCTGCGTAAAAACTATATAAGCGTAATTTTCAGAGAACAATGTTCACTAATTGCGGAACTTTCTGTCAACTGGCTGGCTGAAGACATTGGCTACGGGTCGCACTATGTCGTGAATTGGCAGAAGTTAGAATTCATGCTCTGGCCATTGGATCAGGTCCAGTGGCTTAACGGTCCACGAGCTCGCCTTGTAACCAGAAGGTCCTGGGTTCGAGTCCTGGCTGTAGGTGCGTACTGATGAAGAGACCCAAACTAGGACGAAACAGCTGTCCAGTACTCCTAGGTTCTCCAACGGTTCTCTAACTAACGTCAGTTCATAATGAAATCCTCCATCCAATCCAACAAAATCCCTACAAAACTATACCTGAAATCAAAATTTTTCAACTTGAAATGTAAGTCAGGAGGCGTGAATATACATTACAAGAGGCATAGAAACAAAAAAATTACACAGGATTAGAATATTATTGTAAAATGGTTATTCCAACCTATTAAAAGTGTGATCAGGAGGAGCATGGAAACAAAATTAAAATAAATGATTTTATAACTGAAAAGAAATGGGATGAACTGAATGAAGACAAGCAGAGAAAATTACACACAGAGAGAACAAAACAAAACAAAAAAATTGAAGGATAAAGGAACATACCGAACTAGGTCCATGGTAGTTGTATAAAGACTGAACTGGTTTCTTCTGAACACATAGCTCTGGATTTTCAATGCATATGGCGAGAGCTTCCTCAGTACAAAGAAGTCGGAAACACACTGACTGTCTTTTGGTAGATTTTTGTCTACTTTGTATGATGTGTCAGTTGAGATTCTGTGACAGGTGTTGACGAGATGTTCAGTTATTGTGCTTTTGAATGAACCAGTACCTCCTTTGTGCAGCCATGCTGGATGATGTTCTCTAACACGTTTTGATAAGACCCGCATAGAACGACCTATGTACCTAGCTTCGCAAGAGCAGGTGAACTGATATATGCACATTGAAGTGGGCACATGCGGAAGTCTGTTTTTTCCATTGCTCCAAAGTAGTTGGCGGCTAGAAAATATCACTATCAGAGTTGCTGCCGGAAAAGTCTTCTTCGTGAAATTGGAGATTCTCCTTTTAAGAATATGTGCTGCTAGGTCTCCCCTGAATTCCTGACTCAAATAAAGTGTTTTCTTTGGCACTGAAGTGTATGTATTCTTCTCTTTGTGGCTTTGGTTTCACGTTCTTCTCCACGAAATGCTGTGGGTGTTCATTTTGAACCAGGATGTTTTAGAGTCTTTTTCCTTGTTCTTTTTGTCATGATCAAGATATGGGACGTAAACATTGACGTAAATTGCTGTCTACCAATTTTAGCTGGTAGACAGCTCTCACCACAGTTTAATTTAATTTAATAAAATTAATAAAAACTTATGAATATAATTCTATTTCAGCAATTTATCCTTACTTTCATTATTTTCATTACACAGTTGAACAGCAAATATGATGCTGAGAGTGAAGCTGAAGCGATTGGTTGGTTAAATCAATTGACCAATGAGAACGTTCCATTTGGAAGAGAAAATGTTGCGGCTGCTTTAAAAAATGGACAAATTTTAATCAAGTAAGAATTTAAATATTTAATCTATACTTGTTAAATTATATAATTAGTGGAGAGAAATTTTTGGAAGGTAAAATTGACATTAGTTAGAGGACCATTGCAAAACTAGGGAATACTGTAGTGCTGCTTCGTACTAGTTTGAGGCGCACCAATGGTCCCTTCAAAGATGGAATCGAAGGCATTGAAGTTATGCTGTCAACCTGTTGACGATTCATTCAATCGTTCAGCTTTCAATGACGCTTTGAATTTTAACGTCTGTTAATGTCATAAACTAGCGGTGAGTGTCTACCTCAGCCTCATATGGTGGACTATACTAGCAACTAACAAAATTAACCCAAATCCTTGTAAAATCCATAATTTGAACATCAGTCTTCAGCCTAACAGTAGTTATTGGATGGATATCTTGAGGTTCTAGTGACAATTCATGGGTAGTTGGAACGATTATGTCAGGGTAAAGCGGGTACTCGTCGGGAGTATTAGTTGGCGTAGTGTGATATCACGAAGTGATAGGGATTCAATTTCATGGGTCATTGAACTCCGACTCATGAGTTGAATTGTGACCTGACTGGCCTTATAGCCTGAAAGTCTCAAGTTCGATGCATGATGGCATAATGTGTATGCACTGCTGAAGAATCTCAAATGGTGGATGGAATTTTCAGCAGTTGTACAGATTGCAAAAAATTTACCTTTCTCTCTGTCTTTGTATATATATATATATACAACAACAACAGACAACAATCAGCCAGCATAAATAGGAGGAACCTGAAAGAAACAACCTCCTTCACCTACCTGGGAAGCATCGTCTCAACTACAGGCGGAACTGACGAGGACATCAAAGCCAGAATCGGAAAAGCAAGACAAGCTTTGATTACTCTCGAATCTGTGTGGAGGTCAACAGCACTCAGCATCAAAAATGACATCCGGATTTTCAACTCCAGTGTGAAGACAGTGCTACTCAGTATACGGATCAGAGACTTGGCCAGCGCGTCATAAAGAGCATCTCCAACAAATTTCAGACCTTCATTAACAATTGTCTTCTCTCAATACTCAAGATCAGATGGCTGGCCAGAAAAGATCATCAACAGGGATCTCTGGCATTGAGCGAACCAATCAGGAACCGATTGTGAAACAAATTGGCAGAAAGAAATGGAGATGGATTGGCCATACGCTGAGGAAACCATCAAGTGACATCACTAGACAAGCCATTGCTCGAGTGGAACCCGAAAGGGAGGCGGCGAGTTGGTCGTCCAAGGGTCGGGTGACTTGGAGGAGGTCATGCGAGGAGGAGATGAAAGCATGTGGACAGACCTGGAGCAGGGTGAAAAAGTTGTCAGAAAACCGAAGGCAATGGAGGTGCGCAGCTGAAGCCCTATGTTCCTCTAGGAACTAAAGGATACAATAATAATAATATATATGTATATATTCAATTATTGGCTTGTAAGGACTTGAATAGTTGGTTACTGAGCTTCACCATGAGTTGACATCGGTTAGAGAAGCATTTGAAAACCTGCAGGGAGTACTGAACAGCATTTTGATTCTTGTTTAGGTCTCCTCGTCAATACGCACCCACCAAAAGGGTTCTAACCCGGGATCTTCTGTGTAAAAGGCCAGCAAGCTAGTAAACCATTACTCACTGGCTACTCATTCTATTCATGTAGGTAGTTACCTGGGATTCTAGTGGGAATTTGTGACCAGTAGGTAACAGCAGATCGAGCGTGAAGGCAAACACTCGCCAGCAGTGAAGCTGACTAGTGGCTTTGCTGTGTTGTGAAATGACAGACGCTGGCATTCATGCGTTGGTCATTGGACTGGGTCCCAGTGGCTTGATGGGCTACGAGCACGCCTTGTAATTACAAGGTTCTGGGTTCGAGTACTACTGATGGGTACGTACAGCCAAAGAGTCCCAAACTAGAGAAAAGGCTGTTCATCACTCTCAGGTTTTATCATTTATATATATATATATATATTCCGGGGACAGTTCAAAGTGAGAGTTGTAATAGTAAAAATTGACGTAATAATGAAGAGTATACAAATTGAATAGACAAAATGAAAAAATGAAAAATTGGTAGAGCTAAAATATGATTGAGGATTACCATACTTTAGCATAGAGGCATTAAGGCCATGAAAGCTGGAGGGGTTGAACAAACGTTTTTTGTACACAGAGATTTGGCTTTTCTGTTTCGATAGCCAAAGCTTCAGCAATACAGATGAGTCAAGTACGTAGGGATTTGGGTAGATTGCTCTTTGCCTTGTAAATGACTTTAGCCTCTGCCTTTAAAGTCATCTAAAAGGCAAAACGTAATTTACCGAAATCACTACGTACCCAACTCATCTGTATTGTTGAAGCTTTGGCTATCGAAACAGAAAAGCCAGATCTTTGTGTACAGAAAAAGTTCATTCAACCCCTCCAACTTTCATGGTCTTAATCCCTCTATGCTAAAGTATGGTAATCCTCAATCCTATTTTAGCTCTACCAATTTTTCATATATATATTCGTCTCATCACATGAAACGCAAGATAATACGTTTGAGTTTTTTATATTTAGTAGCTGTACAAGCCATAAGGCTTATGAGTTTTCTTCTGGTTTCTCCTGAAGAGATACAAGGAGACATTTAGGAATAAGGAGAATGTTCGATAGCCTTAGCTGACTGCTTACAGGAATTAACATGACCATTGCTAACACATTATCAGCTAGTTGATTCAAAGACAAACACCACTAACCTCGCTCGCTTACAGCCTTCAGAATTCTACGTAATATGATATATACTTTTTGAGAATTGCAGGGAAGAATAAATGACGGAGGAGGGAACAATAAAGAAGAATGGGTGGAAAACACGAATTTGTAAATTGTAAGAGAAGAAGTTGGTTGAATAGTGGCAGCAGAAAGTTGAAAAAAACATTTCCTTTGAAATTAACAAGATATGAGATGAGCAACCGAGATTTGAAGACAGACTGACATATTACGATAGGAAATATTCACTCTACTGCCTATCACAACGGACATCATGGATCATGGGACTGAATAAGTCTACGCAAGTCTTTTTCCTTTCTGAGGTCAAAGTAGCTGTCCAACAGTGTCTGATCCTCAGAAGTGATTCCTTAAATGAGATGGACTCAAAACGAAACATAACGAGCTAATAAAAAATAAATCACATGGCAGGAAGTTTTGCACCCCAAGACAATAAAAATGGTCAACAGAGATGAAAATTAACCGGAAATTCAAAATTACATCTATCATGGAAAATTCACAAACATGTTTACTTCATACTAAAACTTGCGCTGAAGATGTTGTCCAGTAGGGGGATAACAAAAGCTTCGCAATTAAATCAGTCAGTTCAGAGAACACATCATGAATATTACTGATATCTCTATTTGCATTTGTCTATAGAAGTGTTCCTTCCTCCTTTGTCTTGAGTTGTGTATAGGTGTGCAGTAGTGGATAATTGTAACCATATTTACAGTTGAGTTGAATTTTGCTATCATGAGCCTGGATGAAATCGCTTTCCACTGGATTAGAACTTCGGCTGATGTTGGTGACATCATGATAACCACTAACTGCCTCAGTGTGCTTGAGGACATCCTCTGGATGATTAGAGTAGATTATTGACTCTCGAGTTGACAATTCTGATAATCCACATCCATTTCATCTGCTCTTGCAGATTCGCAGCTACCTGAGCAATCTTCTCACCTTCGTGCATTGTACAAATATTTCGAGTCTCCAGTATTATTCTTGCTTCCATCGAGAGAAAATTACATCGGCTGGCTGACTGGCTTCCAGAAGGCTTTCACCAGCCTGCTGTGTCATTTTGCCTCTCCAGTTCCGGACGAAAAATAAGATTTCTTTAAAAAAAATATTTTCTGTATTTTTAATATTCTTCTTGTGCGTCAAGGTGTATGTAGTAGTTTGAATGATTTTGTGGGGGTAGATTGGCTGGACCTACGCCCAACCCTTCTTCTTCTCTCGTTCTTGGGACCAGCCAGGAAACTAGAGAGCGAGTGAACTAGATGAAGTTTCAGAGAAAACAACGAAATCAAAGTCATTCACCTGAGCTACAAATCTTCTCTATACCCATAAACCTGTAGTGGGAAAGCAATTTTGATTTTGTGAGGTAACTCAGGCAAATCGGTTTTTGTTTTTAGCTTAAAGTAATATCAATTATTCATCATAATTTTCATGAACTCTCTCTTTATTTTCAAATCTTTCCATAGATTGGTTAACGTTGTATTTGATGGTACTGCATCTCTGCCTCCAGCGGCAGCTAAAATGAAGAGGCCATTCAAAGCCAACACCATGACAGCACCATTTAAACAAGTGAGTAAAATGCATATTTACACGCACAAGCAATAATGATGAATAACTTCAGTTACTTTGTGGTCTAGTCGGTAGGATGTTAAGGCAGTAATTTGAAAACCGCTGGTTTCATATCATGCTATCGGTAACAGGATGTTTATACGGAGTGCAGTATCGTTTTCAGGATTTCATCATGAGCTGATATTAGTTAGAGAACAGTTGGAAAACCTAGGAGTACTGGACAGCTGTTTCGTCCTAGTTTGGGTCTCTTCATCAGTACGCACCTACAGCCAGGACTCGAACCAGGACCTTCTGGTTACAAGGCGAGCTCGTAGACCGTTAAGCCACTGGGACTGATCCAATGGCAAGGGCATGAATTCTAACTTCTGCCAGTTCACGATATAGCGCAACCGCTAGCCAATGTCTTCGGCAAGTATTTGTCCTCACACCCTACCGGCTGCACCCTACTGGTCACGACTTCCCACTGGAACTCAGTATCGTTATTTAAGGATATTATGTACACCTTATCTGAAAATCGTCATTTGTAAAGATCTTACGTGTTGTACTACTTCTCGCTTCCCCTTCGCGGTTCGTATTTTCTTTCTTTGTTTATTTTCGTGTCTCACATGTATCACCGAAACTCTTCAAGGCTGTCAGTCTACTATCTGATATTTTTGCTCTGATGAACTTCTGTTTATATACTACTGATAATTCTTATCAGTAGGACATACCACACTGTGATACAGGTTTTCATTTCATCTTTTGTCATTACCATTGCCTATCAGAGACAGCCTTACCATGCCTAATTATACGGCCTATGCAACCAATTGGCTCCATAGGGGCAGTTAAATTGATAGAGACACATAGAAGAGGCGAAATTAAGCAGTTATGCAGTGCTCTACATTTTTATGTCAGTGTAACGTCTTCTTCAGACTTTTATATATTTTGTTGCGTCCAATAATTAGGATGTGCGTTGGTGACACAGCAGTAGAATGCTCGCTAACCACGTTTCATGTAGCTTGGGGTTCGATCCCCGGTCATGGACGCACACCTTTACTTCACTAAGCCATTATAATTAGACTAGTGAGGAGGAAAGGCTGGGCATAAGGCTAGCAACCCCATCGCGTAGAAATAAACACCACTGCTACCGAGAATTCAAGCATGTAGCCTGAGGCCCGATGTGATACAAACAGAGTCCTGGGTCACTGACTGGTTGCATTCCGACTTCTCTAACAGAATGCAGTATACCGAATACAAAGGCCAATCCTCCTCTGCTGTGCTCACTGAAGCTGGTGTCCCCCAAGGTGCTGTACTCTCCTCACTTCTCTTTTCTTTTTTACTACATGACTTACCATCTTCAAATGACATTAATTTTGTCAAATATGCTGACGACCTGACTGTATCTTTGCCTGTCTAATGTCTAAGTGACTGCTCTAAGCTAAATAGCTTTTTATCAGAAATCAGCCGATGGTCCAACGAAGGCGGTCTCACCTTAAATCCCTCCAAATGCTAAACAGTCAATTTCACCTTTAGGCATAAATATGACTTAAACAAACTGGTTAGCACTCAAGAGATGTGCAACATTGATGAAACTGAAATAGAAACCAAGTCAGAAATTAAATACCTAGGCGTCATTCTACCTTCAGAACTTTCCTGGTCGTCTCATATGTTGATGATTTCTACGAAAATATTCCCTCTTACCTCCTACATGAAGAAGTTATGACATTCTGGTATAACCTAACCCTTACTCCTACGATTCGTTAACTCTTGAATTCTGCCTACTATTCTCTATTGTTCCCCCTTAGTTTTTCGTGGGCTTGTGAAGAAGGACTATATCTTATTACGTAGGGTGTTAAAGGTTGTCAGCAGTTAAGCAACTTGCCACTTAACCTACCAGTTTGTTAATATTCTGGTTGACAGGCACTTGGACTCATGTGAAAAATGGGCTATATTGATTCTATCTAACTCACACCACCCTCTTCATTCACAACTCTCCCCTTGTGTCTTATCAGGCAGAACCAGAAGCCTGGTTATATAGAAAACTATATGCTCGTACTAGCAAGTACAAAAACTTAACCATAGCCTACTTAGCTATTGTTCTGTACGATAAAGAAAGCATTGCCTACTGAAGCTGGTGTCCCTCAAGGTGCTGTTCTTTCTCCTTTTCTTTTTTCTTTCTTCTTGCATGACTTGCCTCAATCTGATGAAATAAACTTTGTGAAGTACGCTGATGATTTAGCGGTTTCAATGGCTGTTAACTCCCAGCTAGATCGTACTAAAATAAATAGCTTTCTATCGGAAGTCAGCAAATGGTCTGAGTCTAACGGTCTTAAACTGAATCCTTCTAAGTGTCAAACTGTTGATTTCAGCTTAAGATGTAAACGACAGTTAAAAGAAGTCATCGATTCTCATGACACTTGTAAAATTGACGACAATGATATAGGAATCAAATCAGAAATTAAGTATCTTGGACTCATTCTCTCTTCTGATCTCTCCTGGACTTCCAATGTTTTAGCAATCTCCAGTAAAATATTCCACCTGACATTTTACATTAAGAAGTTAAGACACTCGGGTATAACTCAACCCCTTCTCCTCTTACAGTTCATAAACTCTTGCATCCTACCTATTCTTCTTTATTGTTCACCCTTATTCTTTCCTGGTTTGCTTAAAAAGGACTATGTCACAATTCGTAGAATGCTGAAGACAGTCAGTAGGGTGAGTGGTGTTCCAGTGGACCACATAGTTAACGTCGTTGTCGATAGGCACTTGTCTTCATGCAATAAATTTGCTAGAGGGATTTTGTCTGACTTGGAGTATCCGCTTTACCCTCAGCTTTCACCTTGCATCTCCTCAGGTAGAACAAGGAGTAACTTCAGAAAACTGTATGCTCGCACGTCTAAGTATAAGAATTCTATGATACCATACTTGTCACGTATTTTTATGTGATGAAAATAGTGTCAGGCAAGAATTAACTAACCTTTTTTCATCTAGTAAATAAACAATTTCCTCCATCCATCCATCCTTATATACCTTCAAGTTTTACTTTTATTATTTCTATTATATTTATGGTCCTGTTACTTCTCTGTTTTACTCTCATAATTGCAAACACCAACTTATCTCCATGACGGCTGTAATCTTTGTTTTCCCCTCACCATATCATGTAAATAGAACGTTATATTCAATATTTTTAAACATGTTAGGATTTGTATACCACATTGCCAATACTGTGTGACACAAGCCGACGGCAATTTTCACTTGTATTCTTATTATTATTACCCTAGCTGTTATCATTATTATTGCTATTTCCATTTTATATGCTGCATGTTTTTGACACTACCTCTATTGTAAATGTGGAAAATTTTCTGTGTGATTAATTTTATTTATAATGTGAGTAAATTAGATGCAATAATATTGTGGTGAAATGCTGAAAATTCCATTCTGTATCACAAGTACTGTTTTTGGAATAAAGTAAATCATTATTATTATTATTAGGCGTGAAACCTTTAACTTATTAAATAGTCAGTAGAACAGCTGGATCTCGTCTTTCCAACTCACATCATTTATGGGTACAATGTTTTCTTTCTTCATTTTCTCTCTTTTTTTGTGTTGTTATGTGCAGCTTTGTTTCTTTCTTCTGCTGACGCCAATAAATATGCTAGAACCTACTTTTCTAACACCTTCAAACACTCTGTTCAATTTTGGCTTTGCTACCGACATGCCAATATTTTGTTGTCATAATGAACTGTGATTTCCTTAATCTATGTAGAATTTTATTTATTGTTAATGTACTAACTGGATGCAATACTGTAGTACAAAAATGCTGAGAATTCCATTCTGTATCGCACGTACTGTTTTGGAATAAAGCAAATGATTATTATTATGTCCCACTGAGAACGTAAAATAATGAAAAAAGCAACATAATCAAGATTGTTCCTTAGATTTAGAAGAGAATGGATAGAGGCCGTGTTTAATGTCAACGGGATGATTAGTATTCCCTCATTGAGACTGTGCGATGAAAGATATTGGCATTAACGTTTCTGTACCAGATATTCGTTGTAAAAAAATTTATACATTACATTCCTACACCAGTTGACTTCTCGTCTATTGAAGTGGCAGGAATAAAAATATGCACAATACAACTAGATTCGAATTCAGCAGAGAAACAAAAGTGTTTCTTTGTCAATTAAGTGATAATCAATGGTTGGAATCTGAACAGCCTTATGAGCAAGCAGTGCTCAAGAACATTCCACCAAAAATGAAATCAAGGTATTTACCAACTGTTCACGTGCAAAGGATCCACAGGTTGATATAGATGTTTTCCAAAAAAAAATTACTCATATTTCCTGTGTTTGGTGAATGTTATGAATTACAAAATGGGCGAAAAGTTTGAATTCAGCTGTTGTTCTGTGTAACATGATTTATAAAATCCTAGTTGGATTTTGAGGGCCGGTGTGGGATCAATTCAATTTCCATCCTTTGATAGGTAACGGACAATAATTATGGCGACTACATAATCACATACCATCATAGATGATCCTCATGATTGTTCTCAATAGGATAATGTTGTAGAAAGGCATACTTTGGAGTGAAGAAAGAAACTTATAAGATCTGAATTCCACAGATAATTTATGTCTCGTATTACATCTTTGAAAGGATTTACACATGAAAACTAGCACATTGACAGAAGAGTTAATGAAGACCAGTATTCAGCTTTATATAAAGCAAAATAGGGATGAAGACGATACCCGACGGTCAACAATAAAAAAAAAACAGTAATCACTACGTAGGGTATAAATTTGAAAGGGTTCATTCCATAAACTTATTTGAGCAGATCAGTTGAAAATGTCAAATCCAGAGTAGGAGATGCCAGTCAGATCTTCATCGCTCAGTAATCAGTCTGCTACGAAGTCAGCATACAAATCAAAATCCGTGTTTTCGACACTAATGTCAGATTAGTACTTCTATATAGTTCACAGACTTGACAAGTTACAGGAGGCTTTTCCAACGCGTAGCTTCGGATTCTTATCAATAGCTGCCTTTACTTTTTTTGATTATATCCTAACTTTACACCGTATTTTTGGTATAGGTATGGAATTTTCAGCATGTGATATCGGCAGCCCAAATTTTGCCAGCCGATCATTTATATAGAGTGTGCGTTGGCAGGGTATCGAGTCCCGGACCGTGTGCATGGTCGGCGACACTCCTAACCACCGTGCCACCGACGCACTTGATAGTGAAGATGAGACGACCAGTCAGGAAAAAGAAACCGAATGGAACTTTGGAAACGAACCAAATAAAACTCTATCGCCCCGAAATTATGAAGTAATAAACGGGGATGGAGTAAACATCTGGTAATGAAACCTTCAAGTGAAAACACATGCCAAGCAGGCTGTTGAATGGAAGCTGAATAGAAAGCAGACTTCCAAATCCAAGACATTCACTTTATCTTTAGTCATCACGTATTATTATTTGAACATCAGTTTATTAATCCCCGGGTATGTCGAACAACTTCAGTGAGAATTCCTGGTCTCTTGCAAGATATAGACAGGAAATATTGTACAATATGACACACACACACACACTTCATTACATATGAATTACATAATCAAATTGTACTTTTCACTTTTGTAGATGGAAAATATTCAAACATTTTTAAATGCAGCCTGTGCATATGGTGTGCCTAGAGCCAGTTTATTTCAAACAGTCGATCTCTACGAATTACGCAATATGCCACAAGTGTTAAACACAATTTTACAACTTGGTACAGAGGTTAGTCGTGTAATTATTTAACTAAATTATATTCAATATAGAAAATATCCCCATTTAGACATTTAGAAAAGAGAAAGATTGAGCGAAGAAATATTTACTTTTCAATTAGATCCTCATCTCCTGGCTCTACTCTAATATATATAGCATTTTAATTACAATACACAACAATTTACCAATCAAGTGGCGATATGTTTGTTAACAATAATTAGTCAGTGTCAAAATGTCAATGGGGTGGTAATTAACGAAGAAAAATTAATATGTATAATTAAAAGGTGGAAATGGTTACAACACGTGGATTGCATAATGCATAATTTTGGAAAAATGAAGAGCAATTAAGGAATAAGCGTGTGCACAGGTTGATTACGTAACAGATTGTTAAAGAAAATAAAACAATTTGGACAATGATAATTTGTAACTAAAGTTGAAGTGGTCATAAGAATAAAATAATTTTTACAAGGATAACACGTAATTAAAGATGAAGTAGTCAGAAAAATAAAATAATTTGGACAATTATAGTTTTTAAAAAGAAAAATTATTCTAGGGGGAGGGTGATGGAGTAGTCCGGTTTATACAGTCATGTAACGATGGCCAAGGTAAGGAAAGTGGCTGTACAAATTTCTTCTGAACACACAAGTTTGGCTTCTTCAGGTGGATTCCTATTGCTTCAGCTGTATGTAGAAGACGAACTCGTAAAGCAAAATTAAGATTAGTAGGAATGCGATAAATAATTTTAAATGCAGTATTAACATCAACCTTATGCTCACTATCTACAAGGTGGGCTAAAATAGAGCTACGAATAGATTTTGTTTGTCCCTTGCTTAACCATGCCGGATGATGTTCGGAAATACGATGATGAACCTGCCTAATTGTTCGCCCGATGTAGCTGGCTCCGCAGCTGCAGTCAAACTGGTAGATACACATAGAAGAGGCGAATTTAGGTAGTTTATCCTTATTACTCGAACGTAGGATAGGTGTGGTTGTGAAGAGACAGCGTACCTCTGCTGCATAATAAGCTCTTTTAACTGCATTCTTCAGTCGTTGTGTTATTATTTCGCTGATGTTGTCGCCGAGGAACTGAAGTTTTATGAACAGTGGTTTTTTCGGAACTGTTGCCATAGTCACTGTCCTAGGTGATGAATTCATATTTTTCTCAATAAACTTATCTGGATAACCATTTTTTCTAAGTAATTCTCTAATAATCTTAAGCTCCTCATTGAAGCAGTCGTCTGAACAGATTAACCTAGCTCTATGAACCAGACACTTTACCAGGTTGCGTTTATATTTCAAAGGTACAAAACTCAAAAAATGAGTGTACTGACCTGTTGTAGTAGGTTTCCTGTACACACTCCTTCTTAGTGTGCCATCTTCTTTCCTTGCCATGAAGACGTCTAGGAATGAGATACAGTCATTACTTTCTTTCTCTATAGTAAAGTTTATTGCTGAATGGGCATCATTAAACTTGTCAAGGATGTTCATTGCGTCGTCCTCGTTTTTTATGACCAGAAATGTATCATCCATATATCGACAGTAGAAATCCAAGTCACTAATTACTCCTTTCAGTGGTCCATTCTCTAACTTAGCGAGGAAAAAATCAGCTAGGATTGGGCCTAATGGGGAACCCATAGCTACACCATCAATTTGTCTGTAATATTCCTTATTGAACGTTCATTGTACATCTTAAAATAAGTTCCTTCAAGGTGGATACAGAAATGCCGTTGTCAATGTTTATGTCTATATTAGAGTAGAGCCAGAGTTGAGGATCTAATTGAAAAGTAAATATTTCTTCGCTCAATCTTTCTCTTTTCTAAATTATATTCCGCGTTTTGTTTCTTTTACTGTCTGACAGTTTTATCCTTTTTATCTGTTTCTATATACAAGTATTGTTCTAAATTGTTTGATCAGTTAAGTCTTTTTTCATTTATAAAATGCATTTCATTGAGATGTCATTCGCTAATGTGGCATAAGGTTTAAGAACCCAAATCACTGGTAAAATTGTGATGTTTTTACGAGTTGATCACGGATTGATATCAGTTAGAGAACCATTGAAAACCATCACTGGAGTACTGGCCAACTGTTTTGATCCTGGTTTGAGAATCATCAGCAGTACTCACCCACTGGGATTCGAATCCAGGACCTTCCGGTTGCAAGGCGAGTTCGTATATCATTCAGCCACTGAACCCAACTCACTGCCTCATGAATTCTAACTTCTACCAATTCGTGATTTAGCGTAACCACAACCATTGTCGTATCGGTGGGACATCCATCCTCACACGTGACATCTGGATCGACCTCACTGGTAACAACTTCTCACTAGAACTCCAGGAAACTCCATCCTGTAGCAAGTCACTAGCAAGCATCCGATTAATTTTCTATAGTTTGATTTGTAAGGGTTAATTTTGTTTTTATGAGTTGATCACAGTTTTCATTGGTTCTGTAACTGATATCAATTCGTGATCAACTCGTAAAAGCAAAACTAACCCTTAAAAACCAAACTATAGAAAAATATAATGATTCCTTGTTAACCTGTGCACCAGCGGGTTGGCAACTAATGCCTCCGGTGGTTCGGTCTCTAAGTTGATAGTAAAGCCGTTAGAGAGGCTAGCAAACCTATTTCGTTAAAATAATTACCACTATTGCCAATACTTCAAGTCTGTAGTTGGAACCAATATGTTCCGCTTGGAACGTAAAGGTAAAGACATATACCACATTCATTAAAAGTTGATTTTACCAAGCTGCTGACTCTTCACTGTTTCTACATTAGTGTGAAACAATATCATTACAGGAAATAAAAACGCTTGTAGCACTTGGCAATATAGCATTTGTAGGTTCACCGTATCTATCTTGAACAGAACTATAAAATATGAAACTCTGAGGTTAGAATTGAAGTATAAGTTAGTGGGTTAATCAACCGATGAATTCGTGATCAAACACATTTTACTCATCCTTCCGCATTTTTATGTGAAAGATTTTGAACCTCCGATGTGACATGAATTTAGATTTCATGAGGGATATAAGTTCCCTCAAGGTGATTGCCGATGCACGCCTTGCTGACTGATGTCTCCTAACAAGCACAAAATCTGGCTCCGAGGATTCTTGCCGACTGCCTCAAACCATCAAATAACAACAATAATGTCGAGCCGTCTAGAACGCAGTAGTCACATTACAAGTTTGACTGTGAAAGGAATTGAGTACGCACCAAAAACAAAGGACAAGAAGCATAATTCTAATTACTAATTAGTGTCCAATCAAAACACTGTGACATCAGGCACTTCTAAAGTGTTCGATTTATCAACAGAATGTAGTGGTTATTATAAAGAGCTATGGTAACTACTGGTTCTTTATCCTTTCTCGGTTTCGGATGTTAGAAGAGATTAATCAGCTGGAAGCGCTGTGCCGGCTAGAAAGCATACATTCTGGCCTTCATCAATAAAGTATGCTCGAAAATTTGGGAGAAACTCATCTTTCCTTCATGGTTTTAAACTTGTTCTGCTGTGAATTAACTGTCATAGTATAAGAGTTATTATATTCGATGACAGACCACATGCAACACAACAGTCGCACCTATTCAAGCACATTAATTGTCTTGATTGATCAATGGTTAAGTTTCTGACTTCATTCGTAGTTAGAATCATGGAGAGAACAGGAAGTTTCTTAGAACCACCTGAATACTTCACTAAACAAGTGTCAACAGGGATGAAACCTAAATCTGAGGCATCTAAGGACTGAGTTTCTCTTCAGTTTGTGTGCAACTTCACTTTGAAACGGGTGAAGTAATTAATAGCTTAGTAACCTCAAAGTAAATTTCAATGTTGGAATGTGGTAATCGTTTTGTGGGATTTTTGGATTTGTTTGTACTCTTCATTCTCCTGACAACCGCTTTTAGGTGACATTTTCACTCACTCCATGTGAGTATTTTGTACTGATAGTTTTCTCTACCACCAAACATGGAATCTTGAAAACCATAAAACAATTTTAATAGTCATTCTCAGGTAAATAATATTCTGTTCATCGACTGACAACCCTTTTATTGAAATACCAAACCATAAATCAGGTTACTTCCAAGATCTGGATTTAAAGGAAGGATGAACATAGATAGGTACACTACCAGAGAGCTTGATGCAGAACCTCAATCACGGTCTTCTCAATTATGAGTGTTCTGCAACTTCACGTCACTGAATAGTAAGCCTAGTATATAGCATATGTTTGCAATTGCACAACCACTTATAGCGTTACACATACTTAACATTCTGGGTGAAAGCCAATCATCTCCCACAGAAAACACTAAGGTGTTTTTCACTTACTGTGCTGTGCATGGTGTTGTAATCAACGATAAATTTCAGTCCCATCAAAGCTTCACCATCATCATACCTGTAGAAAGGCGTCATTAGGTAAGTGTTTTGTAGCTTTTTTCCTTTCAGATAACGTTAAATGTTTGAAATTATGACGCTGGATTTTGACAAGAAATAAGTAAATTCACCAGCGAATAAAATATGATGATAAACATTAGGCTACTTAATTATTAGTAAGTAGATGAAATGTTTTAGATAAATTACTGGGATGCAGGAAATAATCGAATTTAAGTGATATTCACGGAAAATGCCCATGAGAAAACAGTAAGCTATTTTGTTAATTTCATTCTTGATAGATATAAAGTTTCATAATACGTATGAGTTGGGATAATTCTTATTGAAAACAAATAACAAAATCTGGACTGTCAAGTGTTGGTTTTTCGGGGGATTTTGCTCGATTTGTTATAGGATTTCATCATGAGCTGACGTCACTTAGAGAACTGTTAGAAAATCTGTAGGGAGCACTGGAACGTGATACACTGGCTTAATGGTCAACCAGTTAGCTCGCCATTGAACCCGGAGTTCGCGTCCAGATGAGGAGTCCCAAACGAGGACGAAACAGCTGTCCAGTTGAATTTACAACGTTTCTCTAACTGTTCTCAGCTCATTATGAAATCCTCTAAATAATCATTGAGGATTGATCAAAGTTGCCCATTAGAAGTTTCAAAGGATTTTTTAATGAACAAAGAATCTTCTTTTCGATGACGTGCTCTTCATTAGGTTCTACAGTTATATACATCAATAATAGTGATGAAAGAATTAGTGTTATTAGCAACATTAGCCCTGAATGAAAAACTTCGACCGAACAAGCTGGATTCAGGAGAAACAAGTCGTATATTCATCAAATCGCCACACTACAGATCATCATTGAACAAAGTTCTCCACCCCACTCAACTTCATCGACTTTGTAAAGGCCTTCGACAGAACAGCGTCTATCGGGAGGTGATTTGGCAACTACTTTGCTACTACGGGGTCCCATCGACAATTATATATCTCATCCAACAGTTGTATGACAATGCAGCATACCAGGTAATCCACAACGGGAAACTTACGGAAGCCTTCGAAGTGAGGACGGGAGTGAGGCAAGGCTGTCTACTATCGCCAATGACCTTCCTGGTTGCAGTAGATTGGATAATGCGACAGACAGAGGGCAATGAGGAAGCAGGCATAAAATGGACCCACAGAAATAACTTGGAGGGTCTGGACTTCGCCGATGGTATATTTATATCAGATTTCCCACAAACTGGAAGATATGCAGGTGAAAAGCAAAGAGTTGACAGAAGAAGCATCAAAGATAAGACTTCCTCCAGGTGAACATAGAGAAGACAGAGGTGATGAAGATTCCTAGCCAACAACAACAGCAGCAACAACAGACAGCAGTCAGCATAAATGGGAGGAACCTGAAAGAAACAACCTTCTTTACCTACCTACCTACCTACCTCGGAAGCATCATTTCAACTATAGGTGGAGGGAACTGACGAGGATGTCAAAGCCAGAATCGGAGGAGCAAGACAAGCTTTCTTTTCTCTTAGGTCTGTGTGGAGGTCAACAGCACTCAGTATCAAAAATAACATCCGGATTTTCAACGCCAATGTGAAGTCAGTGCTACTTACTATACGGATCAGAGACTTTGCCAGCGCGTCATAAAGAGCATCTCAAACAAACTACAAACCTTCATTAACAGTTGTCTTCGCTCAATTCTTCGATCAAGATGAGGTGGCCACAAAAGATCAGGAACAACGACGGATCTCTGGCAGTGAGTGAACCAACCAGGAACCGATTGTGAAACAAATAGCAGGAAGAAATGGAGATGGATTTGCTGGCCATACTCTGAGGATACCATCAATTGACATCACTAGACAAGCCATTGCTTGAGTGGAACCCGAAAGGGAAGTGGCGAGTTGGTCGTCAGTGCAAGGGTGACTTGGAGGAGGTCATGTGAAGAGGAGATGAAAGCATGTCGGCAGACTTTTCGAGCGGAGTGAAAAAGTTGGCAGAAAACCGAAGGCAATGGAGACTTGGGCGGCTGAAGCCCTATGTTCCTCTAGGAATTAAAGGATAGAATAACAATAATAAAACAACATTAATTTTGTTTAAGCAACATCAAATAAATCAGTAATATCAGTGAATTGCAGTTCAACAGCATCCTTAAGTGTGATAGTATGCGTCAAGATAACACTAAACTGAATATCAGACGAATTAGGAAAAATAAGAATAATCCAGAATTCATAAGTTTATAGGCTCCAATGAAGACCAGGGCAGTAATATTCGGTAGCTGGGCGTGTTTCTTCTTCACAGAGCGCTCTAATTGATTTAAGCGAATTACTATGATCTCTACTGTTTGGAGTATTTGGCATTCAGAGGCCTTTGATAGTCTATCTGGTGTATGATTAGTGATAGATAGAAGGATTCTTCCATGTTAGCTATGTTAGCTATTATTTAGACGAGGGGATGTCATATAGAACTGCTGATAGTTTTATAACAAAACCTTTATTAATACAAACTGGTAGGTGTTCCCAAGGACGGAAAATTAAAATTGTAGAACAACGACCAGTATATAAGTGGCTTCATAGGAGCATTGAAAGTAATAATAACAAGAAGAGATGGCTAACATAGGTATTTCATCTTACCGTTTCTGGATCACAACTGTTTGTGTGTGTGGGAAACGTAAGCTCTGTGAGTTGATTTCTCCAACTTATCGGTAATTATTTTACTTGGTGTGTGTGCATCGGTGGCACAGTGGTTATGACTCTCACCGACCATGCACATGGTCCGGGGTTCGAGCCCGAACCGACGCACACCTGATATCTATGGTCGGCCTGCAAAATTTGGGCTACCGATATCCATGCTGAAAATTCCATACTTGTACCAAAAATACAGTGTGGAATCTAGCTGTAAATCAAAAATAAAAAAATAAAAAAACTTGAATTGTAGTCACATGTATGTATATAGGTGCTTCTTGCTAAGAGACACACTATAATTTTCCCTGTTCTTTTGGCCATGCATTTCCGCATGAACGTTTCGTTGTGGCTGTTTTTAGCTAACCTCATGTTATACAAAATTAAGTTTGTCTTCAATCTCAACCTTACCAATTGTCCTTTATACCGGAGACGAGGTGAAAAGATGTGAAAATGTATATATATTGACCAGTCATCGAATTTCAGGAGACCTCTTCAGTTAAATATTACACATATAGTAAAATAGGTCAAGTTTAGACAGATGAGAAGGAAGGCGTATGCCAGACCTAAAAATTAATTTATCACAATAGAACATGTAGTTCAGCTGAATTGCTATAATAAACAGTTTGTCATCAGGCAAGGGACTTGAAAACGTTAGTGACTGCAAAATAAATAATAATAATAATAGTAATAATGGTAAAACCAGTTAAAATAACTGGTAGTGAGAAAAGATATTTCTTGCTGAGACAATAATATTAATAGTAATGAGATGTTATAAAATATTAACAATAATAGCAGTTAATAGTTAAAAATATTGATTTTTATCTCTTATTCCTGATCTACTGTACGTCGGTGGTTCAGCAGTAGAACTCTCGCCAGCCATGCCTCACGTGGTCCGGGGTTCAATTCATGACTGATATACTCCTAAACTTCACTAAGCTAGTAGTATGGTGACAATTATCCGCAAGCCAAAAACTGTAGACAGCAATTTGCTTCAATGTCACGTCCCGAATCAGGGTCATTAGGCAGAAGCATTAGCAAAGCTTGACCTTGAGGGACTCACCAACCAATCACAGTAGACCTAACGTGTGCAAATACGATTTGCAGAAATACGGCTCAACTTTCTGAGAAGCGGTTACAAACAGTACAGAATAACCTTCAGCAAGAAAACAACCAATCAGAAGAAGTTGCTTCTTCGCTGATAATAATATTCATAAAAAATGTATAAATAGCCCTTGATTATCCCAACAAACGATCTGTTGCCTGGCTCTTGTCTTCTGTCGTTGAAATACTATTGTTACTATTAATCTCTGATGAAAACGGATTGCTCAGCTATGACTGTTTAGCCTAGGATTCAAGTCTACTCAACCGTTATGTCTTCCAGCAGTCGGTATAACCTAATATCATAGATTTATGACGTTACATATCTATATGTAAAAAAGTATTCCTGAATGTCACAGAATATCTCCAAACATTGCTACTGAATACCTCTTAATTGTCTTTATTTTGTCTAAACAGTGTCAAAGGAACAATTTCAATGGACCAGTATGCGGACCAAAACCAACCTATGAAAATAAACGTGAATTCACAGAAGAGCAATTAAGAGCATCTGAAGGTATAATTGGTTTACAGGCCGGGACTAATAAATGCGCTAGTCAAGCTGGAATGAGTCATGGCGGGCCGCGTCATATCACCGACATTAAGGTAGACGCCGCATCAAAAGAAAGTCAAGGTGTCATCGGTCTTCAAATGGGTACAAATAAACTTGCTAGTCAAGCGGGTATGAGTCATGGCGGGCCACGTCATATCACCGATATTAAAGTAGACGCAGCATCAAAAGAAAGTCAAAGTGTCATTGGTCTTCAGATGGGCTCCAACAAAGGTGCCAGTCAAGCTGGGATGAGTCATGGCGGACCAAGACACATTACTGATATCAAAGTTGACGCAGCATCAAAAGAAGGACAAAATGTTATTGGTCTTCAAATGGGCTCCAACAAAGGTGCTAGTCAAGCTGGAATGAGTCATGGTGGTCAGCGACATATTGCTGATATTAAAGTCGGTGAAATATCAAAAGAAGGTCAAAATGTTATTGGCTTACAAATGGGCGCTGGGAAAGATCAAGTTGCTTCACAGTCTGGTATGAGTTTCGGTGCACAACGTCATATTGTTGATTCACATTAAATTATAAAAATAAACACATTCATCACCAACATCGATTCTTAAGTCACCTTTCTTTTTTGCTCTACTGGGCTTTTCGCTTAACAATATGTGCATTTTCTTACTTTTTCTAATTTATCATTCCTATCTTGCCTTTTAGAATGATTATATTATTTCAGTTTTTGTCATGCTTTGTCATTGAATCGTTTAACTGTAATCTTCAACAACTGAACATGTTTCTGCTTTAAATGGACTACCATGAAAGGCGGGAAAAACAAAATCGGAAATTGTTTAAAAAAGTAACAAATTTATTCTGTCTGTATTACTCTGAAGATTTTGATGATTTATTATTATTATCTTGAATTCTTAATTTTTAAAAAATAGAATATTATTTGAAAGTGAACTAATAATAATGATGATTAAGCGATATTGATTTTCATATGATTATACTTCGCGGCTTAATTTTCGCATTTATAACAAATAAACAAATGAAGAGGAATTGAACAATTGATCATTTGACTTATATATTTGAATGCTTTATGAAAAGGTATTCTTGTTTCTCTTCTTTGACAATTTGCTTTTTGAAAATTCGGTTAGTTATTTACTTATTTATTTATTTATTGAATAGAGTGTTGCGTCAAAGTTTATTTTGCACGTACTTACTCTCTTCACGTTTACTGAGATAACAATAATGAAAATATTAATAATGGCAATAATTCTATAATAAGAAATATAGATTTATTGATATTTATATCAGAGTGTTCTGTTTCTTGACTTGGTTCTCCTGAATCCAGCTTGTCTTGGTCGAAGTTTCTCATCCAGGGCCTCTCCAGGATGACGTGGCTTAGTGTTTCTTGTTGGGTTAGAAAGGAGCATAGTGCCACGCTAGTCCTCGGATTAACCTAATTCCCCTTCCTTTGGCAGTTTGAATAAGTAACCTTAATCCCAGTCCACAGGTACCTTAACCCCTTTGGATACCTCCTTCAGTTATGGTGTCATCAAGACCTCTGATAATTCGGCGTCCATTTTCACTGCTTCTGCAGGGATTCCATATGATCCTGTTTCTTTTCCAGTGTTTAGCATCTTTATTGCCTTCAGGATTTCTGTTCTCGTTGGAAGGTTGATGTCCACCAGTAGTTCTGCTTCCGCTTCTTGCATAAACCTCCCAATGATATATATATATATATTCAGATCACATGCCCTACTTGGTAACCTTGGCCGTGATTGGCTATTCTTAGTCAATGCTATAATTTGTCAAACCCTCTTAGAATGGATGTCATCCATAAACTAATAAAGTCATTTTACTCGGAAATATCTAGGACAAAAACCACAAATAGTAAAGAAGCCAAAGCTAATGCACTTAATAAAAATGATTGGACCAGCGGAAGCTCTATTCATCAATACAAACTAGCAGTTTGAGACACACATTTGATCTATTCCGCCTATATGAAATATTACGGGAATTATAACAATTGAATAAGATAAAACTGTCGAACGAAAGAACAAGGCATGTAAGCTTACAGTATTGTGATCGATGGTGGATTACACCTCCTTGATGTCCATTTGAGCAGAAGACAGGATGGTTTACTAAAAGGGAGATATCTGTATACAATCTACGTCTGTGGGATAATACACACATTTATTCAGTTTTGCCTCAAGAATAGAGCAAGACAGATCTGCACAAATGACTCCCCAGAAAGTGAATTAGGATACATCCAAAGTATGCTGGTCCGAATCGGTTATCCTAGTAGATTTGTAAGGAGACATCAGATATGATAAAGAGAAACTGACAACAGTTGAAAAAAACGACCCATTCATAAAACTGCAATTTAATAGGGTCGTGGCTAGTGAAGTTTTACGCCTAAGATTATCTACAGCAATAAAAAATGGACTTAAACTGCCACCAACCTGTGTTTGTCATTTTCCAGCTGACCAATTATGAATGCTTAAGCGAAAGAAAAATTACCTAACTGTAGCACTTCTAGGCGTATTCACAAATTTAATTGGTCCTGTGCAGAAGGCTATATGAGACGGACAACTAGACAGCTAAATAAACGTATTAATAAGCATCTTCCTTCATGATTCGGAAAAGGCCATAATAAAATCCATAATTAGTTCTATTTCGTCTCATTTGATCGATGACAGTTGTCACTAAGTGGACAGAAGATGAGATGCTTTCAAGGTTATCTGTCGCATTCCGTCTAGCCTTTCGAACGAAATTCGAAGCCATCTTTTAACACATAGCAGAAGCCATTGGAATGCGAGAGAAACAATCCTAGTTTTTGCATCCAAAACAAGTTTTTGCTCTATCTTTGTCTCTCGCTTGCTTGTCTAGGTAAAGTCTTATTCAAAGAAACCCTCAAACCCGTTCTTATTTTCCGTTTTCTTCGTACTTCTATGACATTTATTCAATTCTCAAACTATCTATCCATTTCACCTACCTTCAGTATTACGTAACTTTTAAGATTTGACCCAGCTTATCTATTGAATTTTCTACAGACACACATATCACTCACTATCTTCGTTATTCTTATTGCTCCACCTGCATAAACCTTATTAACATTATTTTGTTATTATTATAATCATCGTTATTAGTAACGTTCAAAACATCTACCACATTATCATTATTGTTCAACAGTACGCACCCATAGGGGTTCGAAACCAACTGCTTCTGATTACAAGGCCAGTGAGCTCGTAGACCATTCATCAGTAACTCTGGCACATCTCCCGATCCAGTGGCCAAACCATTCATTCGAACTTCTGCCAATTCATCATACAGGGCGACCACTTCTCACTGTCTCCTTCGATCAGTTACCGCCTCACTTTCGACCTGCTGTATTTCACTGGTTAAGGTTTCTCATAGGAACACCAGGCCAGTGTGAGAAGTTTCAAGTATTGATTTTTGTAGGGATTTAGTTTGATTATTTGGAGCTGATATCAGTTAGAGAACCGCTGGAAACCCTGCATGGAGTTCTGGGTCCTGGGTTCGAAACCCGTTGGGTGCGTACTGATAAAAAATCCCAAATCAATAATATTTGATCCATAAACTCACTGTCAATAGTTATATTTTTTATATGTAAATCTATGTAAATTAGAGTAAAGCCTGAAAATGAACTAATTGGAAATAACAATATTGTTCTAATATTACCAGTGGGAATGTTAGACGAAACGCATACAAATCGCCACAGAATTCCTTGAGACCTTGCATACAGATCAATTAACACTTAACAGACATGTAGATAAAGACAAAATAAAACAGTCAGACGTTCAAAAGGTTCAGTACTGGATCAACAATAAGATTTGTAAATCAAAACAAGTAATTCAGCGAAGAGACTCTTTTTAACGAATTTATCATCAAGCTGTACAGTCGTATATATATGGTTTCTTTCAGAAGTTATATCCGGTGAGGGAATTGAATCTTAGGTGTGAATACATGAAATAATAATAATCATATGCAGTTCAATTAAAACTGAAATGTTTGTGATTATAATCGTAGTTAAATGTCAAGTGGCAAAGCAGATTAATGTCATATATAGAATAATTCATAGGATGGATAGAACTTGATAAAGGATGTGCAATTATAGGATTAGTAGACAAATCGAATAAAATAAAATAAAGACGTAACGTAATATTGTGTGAAATTTAATAGCATAGAATTTACCGTTGTAAAAAAGGATAGATTTAGAATGACAAGTGGACCAAGTGAAATAATACCGGGGACAGTTCAAAGTGAGAATAGTAATAATAAAAATTGACTTAATAAGGAAGAGTATACAAATTGAATAGACAAAATGAAAAATGAAAATTGGTAGAGCTAAAATATGATTGGGGATTATCATATTTTAGCATAGAGGGATTAAGACCATGAAAGTTGGACCAGATGTTCTATGATCGCGCTTCTTATTGCTCCACTTCCACCTTTTCGTAGCCATGCAGGATAGTGTTCTTGCACCCTCTTGGACAAAACTAGAGTCGAAAGACCGATTTACCTAGCTCCACAAGAGCAGGTGAATTGATAAACGCACATAGAGTTGGTCAACATTGGGATCTTGTCCTTCAGGTTATTGAACAAAACGAAGTAACAGAAAAAGTTCGTTCAACCCCTCCAACTTTCATGGTCTTAATCCCTCTATGCTAAAATATGATAATCCCCAATCATATTTTAGCTCTACCAATTTTTCATTTTTCATTTTGTCTATTCAATTTGTATACTCTTCCTTATTAAGTCAATTTTTATTATTACTATTCTCACTTTGAACTGTCCCCGGTATTATTTCACTTGGTCCACTTGTCATTCTAAATCTATCCTGTTTTTACAACGGTAAATTCTATGCTATTAAATTTCACACAATATTACGTTACGTCTTTATTTTATTTTATTCGATTTGTCTACTAATCCTATAATTGCACATCCTTTATCAAGTTCTATCCATCCTATGAATTATTCTATATATGACATTAATCTGCTTTGCCACTTGACATTTAACTACGATTATAATCACAAACATTTCAGTTTTAATTGAACTGCATATGATTATTATTATTTCATGTATTCACACCTAAGATTCAATTCCCTCACCGGATATAACTTCTGAAAGAAACCATATATATACGACTGTACAGCTTGATGATAAATTCGTTAAAAAGAGTCTCTTCGCTGAATCACTTATTTTGATTTTCTAAATGTTACAATGGGAATTTTCCATGAGGAATAAGATTTGTCACAATACAAATGAATGCAATCCTTAGAGAACCTCCATAAACAGCTGATCACAGTCAATGTCATTAAGGATAGGTGTATATTTCTGGTTGAAGTTAGCGCTAAACTTGTGTTGGTTGACCAATCGGTGCAGAAAAGTCTTGTAATTCAACTATCGAGCTCAGAGAATACAGCAGCAACAATCACAACGACGACGACAACAACAACGTTAAAACCATATATATCTGTGCGATTATTTCACACACACACACATATATATATATATATATATATAAAACTAATCAACCATTCAAAATCAACATTTTTGCAAACTGGTCTAACAACTGAATTTTACTTAGTTTAAAAATGAAATACCAATGTCCTAAATCTAAGTCATATGTGTATTTCATAATCGAATTCATTAAATTTGTCGCCAGTCACATGAAACGAAAATAAATACAAATTTGCAAGGTTATATATATATATATATAGTTGACCTTATAACTTATAAAGTCATTTATTTTTTATAAATATTCATGTACAAGGATATATATGTATATATCTCGATCTATCTATCTCTGGATCGCTCGCTCTCTGCTTATGACATAATAGACATGTGTATGCCTAAGTTTATAAGGACAAAAAGGTAACAGCGTATAAGACTAGTTGAGATTACCTGTAACTTACACTACTAATTGTAGGGTTGTTAATCAAATCTAATTACAAGAACAACACCAGCAACACTGGCAACCAATGAAGTTGACATTTCGATTCAAACAAACATATACCACCACGTTAGGCATTGTTAGTTGACTTCACTATCTGGACACTTTTTCCACTCACATGGATCATTAATCAAGAAGGCTATATAATGTCAGATAACTGTTTCTTCTCTTTTAGTTTTTTGCTTTTACTGGAAACTGGAATCTATTTTAAGCGGATTTAAAAAAGAGAGAAGAAGAATTAAAAGATGCATAAATGTCATCGGATTGTGGACTAGTAAGCAACTTTTGCACACACACACACACACACACACACACACGGACACTGA